GGTTTTGCTAAGGGACTAGCAAAATGTAAGTTTGGGGGTGTGATAAGAGCCGAATATTGTATATTCAAGCGCCCTAAATTGCATTAGTTAAGTCCATCTTTTGATTATTTATGTAGATTATCTCCATTTCCATGTTTTTATGCATTTTCAGGTTCATTGGCCAAAAAGAAGCAAGGTTGAAGTTTGTTGTAATTTTGGATAAGAAAGGCACAATGCTGAAGCTTGGCAGCAGGGGAACCTGACTTTTGTCGCCATTTTCGACCGAGCAAACTCAAGAACTGGACTTCTATCATAACATAAAAGATTTAGAGCTCTGAATCAGCTTTCCAAATCTTTAAGAGGTTCATCATTCGGAGTTTAGAGCAGAGAGTTATGATCTTCTTATTAGAGGTGCTCAGAACTACCTGGCAGCAATGAAAGTCTGCCTTGTTCTTCAATTTCGACCAACCAGACTTGAGAATTGGATCTCCACCAAAACATAAATTTTTTAGATCTCTGAATTAGCTTTCCAAATCTTCAAATGGTTCATCATTTGAAGTTCAGAGCGCAAAGTCATGACCATTTTACCAAAGTAGGTACGGGCGGAGCAAACCAAGCATAGGGCATTCTGCCCAATTTTCGAGTGCTCGAGGCCCTATTTCGAGCACTCAAAATTTGGGTAGAATTCTACATGACTCAGCCCACTTGTGCTCAGATTTTAGCCCTTTTGGATTGCCTCCTTTATGAAGTGGTTGGAGATGTTGGTTGGTGGCTTTTGGGGTGGATAAGTGATCTAGATAAGGGAAGCAAAGCCACTCATTATCTCTAAAGCTTCATTTTGAGAAGATAGGGGAGGAGGATAGAGCAAAGGAAGGAGAGTTCTTGGAGCAAGAAAGGGGAGCTCGAAAATGGAAGGAGGATCCATGGTTCTACTTCATTCTAAGGCTCCCATGTGTAACTAACTCCTCCTCTAGGGAGGTAATGGAACCCCTCATTGTAAGCATGCTTTACTTTTGATTCTAGTTTGGGAAAAATAATATATTTTTGTGGTGATTCCATAATCTAGAACTCTTACTTGATGTAATGAATTGATTTTGATTTAATGATTATGTTTGACCTACTTTCTTGTCTTAGAATGTATGTTTTCATGGTTGTATGGTTTACATTTTCATGGTGACAATGAAGATGAGATTTTTGGAATGGTTTTAATGGCATGTTGTTGAGAGATTTGATAGGCCATAGCTTAGGTTCTTCCTTTGATGGCTTATTCTTAATTCTTAGCTTCATGTGCTCTTATCATGTGATTGATGGTTTGACAATTTCTAGCTTAGTGAACATGTCTTAAATTACACTTTAGTTAAGGTAATTGAGCATGTAAAATCTTTGATAAATTGTTCTTGCCTATTGATTCCATGAATCCTTTGAAGGTAATGTAGTAATCATGAGTAACTACTTATCATAGCCACATATTTATGTTGTTTTTCCCCGAATGAATCATATTCTAGCATGTTTATATTGTAGGTGGTGAAGTTACTTCCCTAGTCTCTTTTACCCACATTTTATCTCTTTTAAATTCTTGCAAGTTCTTAATTTATGCATCTTTACATTCCTATCTTTAGTGACAAACAAACACTCTATACCCCTTCATCATCCTAAGAATGACTTTCGACACTTAGGTTGCCGTAAGACTAGCGCAGTCCCAGTGGTTCGACTTACCCGACCAATAGCCCTATTTTACAATGATTCGTGCTATTGCGAAGGTTGATGTATAATTGACCAACCGATCATCAGATCAGATCTAGGTTGCGCAGAATCCATCATCAACAATAAAGATTAAATATGCAACTTCATTATCTCTATTCTTTCCTAATTCTATTTCACCTATTTCTCAATTTTTTTAATTAAAAATTAATTACTTTTTTATTCTTTAGAGTCCTAATCTTATTATTATTATGTTTTTTTGGTTTTCTAATCCTCTTGTATACATTGAACATGCCTACACATAATGATATACAAATATAATAATATATAGTATACATACATTTATTGATATACATTTATATAATACATATATATATATATATATATATATATATATATATATATATATTGGGTAAATGTATATAAAATAATATTAAATCGATGATTTTTTTTTTTTTAAAACCAATAAAAGCTCCTTTAATTTTTTTTTTTTTTTTAGTAGTAATTTTTTCTTAAAAAAAATTCCCCCCCCCCCCCCCCCCCACACTGGAATCTTGGCTCCACTCCTGATCGGAGTGGTTTTAATTGTATCATCCGTAGTTAACTATCACTATTTTTGAAGCAGGTTCTTCTGATATAAATTGTCAGTGAACAAGTTGTTAATATACTGCCTTATCTTTTGATATTTTTCCGTGCACCTTTTATATAAACATCAATAACTTTTTAATCATAACTCCGAAATTTTCAAGGCCGGTACAGTTTGAATCATATCTTTGAGTCTATCCGAGCAATTGTGATTATTTTTGAAGCAAATTTTCTG